AAAGGAAGAAAAATAAAGACTGATATCTTTATTTAACCTAAATTGACATGACATTACATGCAAAATATACACGACAAATAGCGAATTTTTCATTGTTTCTCGAAACGTCATAGTATTTCCACACCGGCGATGACATGACTGTGGTGCCAAATCATTTATGTCCCTACGCATCATGTACGTCGTCACGCGTTGACGTCATCAAATTGTGATCGGTTCGTGAGATCGGCCAAGTTAGTGAGTACCGATCGAGTCATAAAAAGTGATTATCGGCCGATGCCGATTGATCGGAGCATCCCTAGAAAAAAGAGTTTCAAACAGTCCTCATCTCTGCCGGACAGCAGCACTGACGCACACCTGCTAAACACAGCTCAGTTGTGCAGCGCGAGAGAGCTCGACATGATGGAGATGTGCGAAGTGAAAGTGCACAAAAGCGAGTCTATTTTGTGCACAACTTGAACAAACTACAACAGGTGAAGCTGTCAGCTGTGTTGATATTGGCAATATCGTTAACAATTCTCGTTTATAATCATTACTAATATGGCTTCTTATCAAGATCTTAGTCTATGTGCTGTGTTCTGTTAATGTGTGAACTTCATATGATTTGAAGCACACTTGCCGTCCATTAATCGCAAAAAGCTTTGTTACTTCTTAATAAACAAAGTATCAGCTTTAAAATTATGCCAAATTTATAACGAAATTCAAACAATAAATACGGTTTTTGCGCTCTTTAATTCGACAGGCACGATCGCTTTAGCGCCTCAGTTCAAGCGGCAAGTGAACCCATTTAATCGGTCTCTTTACTACTATAGTACATAATGAACATGAATTAACATCAGAACCTAGCCTATTTTATAAGAAAACCTACAGTAGGCCTGGGCGATAAAACGGTATCGATATTTATCGAATTTAAAAATGTTTGATATAGTGCACAATATAGGCACGTGCTATGAGTGACACAGACAGCACACACAAACACGAACATGAGTGCTGCGCCTGCCTGTGATGAGGAGATTGTGAGTAAAGAATGAATATTAGTTGAATTTAAAATAAACATTTGCATTTGAATGCAAAAATAGTACAATCCAATGTTAGATGTGCATCAGGGAGTGTCATCAGTGGAGCACGAGATGCGGTGATGATGATGTAAGTGACGTTGTAGTTTAATGTTTTGTTAGTCTAGCCCACGAGACACGCAGTTGCTGCATTATTCATTCAAAATATTAGAGAAATATAGTAGCTCAATGCCTAGAATATCTTGATTAGGTTAAAACCGAAACCAAGCCATTCACACAGATGCATATTCAGTGCATTTTCTAGACGGACAAATATGACTGCAGCACTCACAGCCATGCAAAGTTAAAATGGTTTAAACCAGGGTTACACAAATCTTGCCCTGGAGAGCCAATGCGTTGCAGAGTTTAGCTCCAACCCTGATCAAACTCACCTACCTGTGATTTTCTAATGATCCTGAAGACATTGATTAGCATGCTCAGGTGTGTTTGATTAGGGTTAGAGCTAAACTCTGCAGGAAAGTGAATCTCGTGGGCCAGATTTGAGGATCCCTGGTTTAAACTTTTAGAAAACAGGTCGCAAATTGAAGTGGAGGTTTATTCCTTTTCACTGGTTCTCATATGTTTTTAAAGGCAATCTGTGTGATTGGCGATTCGGCTCTTTGTATTAAGCAATGCATAAATACGTGATGCTGTTTTGTTCATAATTGTTTATGCAATTTACGAAATTAAATTTGATTTATATGGGTTAATTTAGACGTAATGCACTTTTTTTTATTGATCGTTACTTCCTTGCGTTGACAATTTAATGTGCTGCATTATTTTGCTCATTGCGCCCTCCTGTGGTCTCGGAAGACAAGCCAAAAGTTTAACCTATTTAATATGCATATAAAACATTAGAAATTAGATATTTGTTTAATTTTTATTTTGTTTTTGACTGTTAAAACAAAATAATATTTGTTGTTTGTCTCATAAATTGAGTTAATTTAAAAATACAGTGGTTAAATGTAAAAAAGAAAAATAATTCTATTGTTCTATTTTTAAAAAGGTTATAAAAGTCAATAATTATCGATATCGAACAATATGAAACATTATATCGTTGATAATTTTTTTTAGCTATATCGCCCAGCCCTAATTCAGTGTTTCAAACTGCGGAAAACGTGTAAAGCTTGTAAACATCGCGATGTAATAATACATTTACCTCAGAATAACCATTCGGTGTCCATAAGCTCATCAGTCAGCTAGGAAAATAACAATAAAGAGGAGCATTTTGCTATATTTATACGCTATTGGATGTTAATATTTTTATATACTTAACCTGTTGTCTACATGATTCAACTCCTCCTACAAAATTGCATTTTACTAATGAAGAAAACAGACTGAATGTGTGAAACACATATGACAGCACTTATAGGATGCATTGAGGAGGAGCCCAAACTACACTCAGTGGCCAAGTGATGCTTGTTATGGTCCATGATATTGGTACAGATTCTGTGTCATGAACAATTCTTTGTGATTACAGTAGTCAAAATTTGAAGTGGATCAAAACCTTACATCAAAGTTGTCCTAAAAACTAAAACCAAAATGCGCTGTTGTCTTAGGACAACTTTGAACTTTTTTGATCCACTTCAAATGTTGACTACTGTATATATTTCAAGTTGGAAAAGACATTACTTCCCACTTTAAGTGAACCTTAGTTCCCAGGTCATCTACAAGATCGATTAAAATGCTGATAAATTCAAGAAAGGATGAAACATAAACACATGAAAGTATAATTGAAATGTTAAAAAGTCATAATAAAATAAAACGCGTTTATTCTGTGGCACCTAAAAAAATTATTTGGCGCCTAAAATGTTTTCTTATAGGAGCCAATGGCTCCTTACTCAATTTTTTTGTTTGGAGCCCTGATATTGCATATTCATATTTTTACTTAACCTGTTGTCTACATGATAAGAAAGAATGCAAGGAGCTAAAGATTAAATTCAACACCTTCTATATAATTGCATGTTACTAACGAAGAAAAACAGACTGGATGTGTGCAAGACATATGACAACATTTATAGGATGCTTCGAGGAGGAGCCCAAACTACACCCAAGGTCGAAGTGATGCTGACATAGTTATGGTCCATAATATTGACACAGATTCTGTGTAATAAACAATTGTTTGTGATTGTATATTGTTCTGAAGTTGGAAAAGACGTTTAGTTCCCAGGACATCTGTAAGATGGATTAAAATGCTGATGCTGTAAAAGGAGGGGAGACATAAACACATGACAGTTTGACTGAAATGTTAAAAAGTGTTAAAAAATGGTGCTGCTCGTTTAATTTTCAGTTTCTCAGAGTCGGCTCAGCACTGTAATACACTGTTTAAATCAAGACACACTGAGAACTGAGAATGTTAACTCCCGCAAGTGCCACGTTCGGTAAATTCCCACTCACTTATAAGACGTGCGATCTGCGCTGCCTTCTCTCTCTCTCTCTCTCTCTCTCTCGCGTTCTTCAGCAGTCACTTGGATAAGTCATTGTTGCTTGTTGAACTTGTTGACCTTTGATTAGTTTGAGCGCGTGATGCGCGCTGTGAAAACGTTTTAAAAAAAAATCAATTTTATACAATCGCCTTCATTTAGCAAGTGCACTCGCTCATAAACTATTTTCAAGTTCAACACTTTTTGTTCCGTTCAGTTGTGGATGCTGCTGATTCACCGAGACCGCCGCAGCTCAGCAAAGAGACGTGTGTGTGTTTTCCTTTGAAAAAGTTTCCCCAGAAATAACTCGCTATTTAATGCATTTTTCCTTACAAATTGTATTATCAGCATAACAGTTTGCCATCCTTCTAGAACAATGTGCATTTATGTTAAAATTGTAACATAAATTATCAAGTTTAGTTATTTTTATTTCTTTATTGCAAAATTAAGATATTTTTATACTTTATTCTAGAGCATACAACATGAAGGGCCACATCATATAATGTTGCATATCCACAACCATAGCATATAGATAGTCGTAAGGGGCTATTCACACAGAATGTGATTTGCGTTGAAAAACATGAGATGCTGTGGAATGGGGTCAAAAAAAACAAAAAACTTGAGCACCCTGTTTTCAGAATGCAGTGACGTTTGAGAAACTGCAAAAGATGCAAGACATGAGCACAGCGGTCAAACACGTCCTTTAATCGCATGTTTACATAGAAAAACAATGGAAAACAGTGCAGTAGAATTTAAAAACGTGTAAATAATTACTATTGTTTGTTTCATGTTTACATGAAGGTGACAGGCTGAAAGGTGCTGTTATTTTCTTTGTTTTTACAACACTTTAACTGTTAATAATACCCTACTTACTGGTGTTATGCTTTTAGTCATTTTGAAATTTAATTTCTTGGATGTTTTGTTTTTGTTTGTTTTTTAGTAAAACTGAATGTCTACATTTTGAAGAAATATTTAGCATTTTTCTTATTTCTGAACATAGGTTTCACTTAATACATGTTTGTACAATATTTGCCTTCATATTTCATTCTTTTCTGCCAATATACTTAACTTTGTTGCAGTTATCTTCAATCAGTCAACATTCTGAAAAAAAAAATCTTGATTTAAATTTTTTTGCCATATTGCCCAGCCCTAGTAAGAGTACAGTAGACATTGCTGTCAAGCCTTGAATACCACTCTTGATGCAGCTGTTGTCATGAAACTGTTGCAAGGAGCTTGTGGGATAGGGTGACAGCAACATAGGAATGTGCCCATCGTGTCCCAGCACACCAACTGTCCAAGAAATTGTGATTAACCCGTTCCTAATAAATGGACCTCTGACCAAAGAAACACAATGGGTGAATCCTATTGAAGGATTCACAATGGGTGAAGCTGTCTTTTTTCTTGTCTAGTCTGGCTTTTCACATTCTGTGTGCGGAAAAAGGAATCTGCATTGAGGAAATGACTCTGTTCATGTTTGAAAGGTGAAACATCAGTATTCAGGAGATTAATCTGTCTTTCATTTTGTTTACGCAGGATTCCTTGGACTTCACAGCCACATCTTCAGCATTTTTAGCTGGATTTTAACCTTTCCCATCTGAAGACAGCCATGGAATCGGTAAATCCCTTTCTTTCCATTGCAGCTTGTACTGAGTGTTTGACTGTTAGCGGCTAGTTCCTCGTTTTTGGTGCGACGGTTCGATTTTGAAACACTGAGGAAGCGTAACTGAGGCTGCAATGTCTGTCTGACTCTGGCTGCAGTGGGATGTTTATCATCTTTAGTTCATTTTTAGCCAGTTTGAGAATAGTGACTAGGCACTTGTGTTTCTCCCTTGCATTAAATAGAGTATATATGTTTGAACATGTAGCTTTTATTTGTGAATGTGATGCCATTGAGTTTGTTGGCGCCCCTACTAGTTCCAACAGGCTGGTGGACGGCTCAGCTTTGGAATGTGTGCATTAAGAGCAGGGCTTATTGCATGCCTGGGCCCTGCCTGCCGCCTCTTTTGTTAAGGGTTTTTGTTTTTGAGTGTGGATTTTGCCTCCTCTGTGTATATGTGTGCATAGAGGCTGTTGTGAAAATGGGTCACTGCTTGCAGAGAACTCGTTGTCTCTAATCTAGAGTCCCACTCCAGCACGCAGCTCATGTGACCATGCTTCTTCATCATTAAGCAGTGGCTCTTTCCCCTATGGAAACAAGCAGACCCATAGTAGTAGAACAGATAGTGTGGTGTTATGTACTGAGCAATGCTTAAGAATAGTTCATCCAAAAATCACTTGCTCACCTTTCAAATCAAGGCCTTCCTCCATGGGGCACATAATTAGATATTAGGCAGCTGTTTTCCATACAGTGTAAATTATATTATTATAACATTTTGTTGAAATGTTAGTAATTATTTACTAGAGGTGTAAATTGGACATTTCATCACAAGGTGATCTTACATCAATTCACTTAACTGGCGATGCAATATTAGCCAATACCTAAAAAAGTATTGAGATATCAGTGAGATTGATATTATGTGCCTATTTTACACCACCAGTTACATTTGTATTAACTCACGGGAGGTGCAAAAAAATAAAAACATTCAGATGAAACAAAACATACATTATATCATTATATCAACCAAGTGGTATAAAGCATTAATGAATAACATTGATTCTTGTTCTTTTTCTCAGACTTTCTGTCAGATGTTTTCATAAGACTTACAAAACATTCTGTTTATCTCCTTTTGTGTTCCACTAAAGAAAAGCAGGGTTTAGAACTAATTTTAACTTTTGAGTGAACTATTCCATAAAACTTTGTATGTAGCATCATATTGCTACAGTTTTGAATGCTGTTCTCTCTCGGCATACAGGCTAGTAGAGTGCTGGAGATATATACAGCAGTCAAGCTCCTTTTTTATACTCTGAAGTGCTGATAATTTCCTCCATTTTTTTTGTTGTCCCTGTGGAGCTCTGGAGCTCAGAGGTCTTCAGGTGTTTACCTCTGAAATCAGACTATATCTGCTTACTGTCAGTGGAAACCAAGGAGACTGATCACAAAGCTCATTATGCCGGCAGCGCACTGTGTGTGTTTTCCTCACCCCCCAAACCCCTTCCACTTCTTCTCATGTGATGCCAGTCACATGGTTTCCAGGCACCCGGAGCAGTAAATCAGAATCACATTTTATTTTTAACCACTCTAAATCCACCGCCATGCTGATGGTTAGCAAAGGCACTTGCTTTAGCCCTCTCTACCTCCATTTCCCCTTGAACCTTGCGCACCACCTACCAAAGATCTGATTATATTTGCAGCGTTATCTGCTGACTGCAAGATGGGCGGTGTTTGGCAAGGTCACAGATGAAAGGAAGCCCCTCTGCTCATTACATGTGTGTTTTTCTTGTTCTCGCTTCTTTCCAGAGCAACTCCATACCTTGGTGAGATTTGTCTGCGGTACTCCAGTGGGGAAATGCAGACTTGCCAGTCAAATTACATAACTCTCATAGCCAGGCTTGGGACAACTATAGAGGCTTTGTTCCCAAGTTACTCCTCCTCCCCCTCTTGGCAGCCCACATGTTAATGTGGTATTGAAAGAGTCTGTGTGCTTCGAACAGGCCCAGCTCTGTGGTGAGAGAGCAGAAAATTTGCATCATTAACGTGCACAATGGCATCATGCTCGGATGTGAGCACAGAGATCAGAGCAGCAATCAGTCACTTCCTGTGAAAGACAACTTTGGGTTGGGACTGGGATTTTTGAACTATGCTTCAGGGGCTGTGGGGCTTTCTCTGAATGTTGGGCAGTGTCCTTTTTCTTATTGAGTTGAGTTTCAAGCTAGTCCATTATGGTGCTAATATGAGTCAGGACAGCAGAAATGAGAAGTCTTAATGCACAAGTGTGCCTGTTACACATGCAGTGCAGGATAAGCCTGATTTGAATATGAGCTGGTTTCTGTGCTTGGTGTATTGACACACGTGCAATTCACATACTGATGGGAAAGTAGCTACTTTTTTATTTTGCTAAGAACAACACATTTCTGCATTAACAGTGTTTGTACATGTGAGTTGACAATGTGCGAAATGCAGTCATTCTAATAAGAATCTATGTGATTAGGAGATTCGTGTGACAGAGATAAAGTTTGCAAATTGCACTTATGTTCAAGATGGTCACACAAATTCACTGTGCTGACCAATTGAAAGCTGCTTGGTTTGAAAGTGATCAGTGTTTCATGCATATCGGCACCATTGTAATTGGACTTTTTTTGCACACAGATTTTTGCTAATGTGACTGCATCTTTAAGCTTTAAGCTTAACCTTTATGTTTGAAAGTATCTTACGGTTTAGTTAGAAGTGGCAGTATTAGAACATGAATCTCAATTATTTGTTAGTACTTGGGTTTGCATGCAAGTATTTGAATCTAGCTAAATGTATTGCCTTTATTAATTTTTCTACAACTCTTCTGTTGTGCAAGAGGATTTTGAGCAGTATTAGCTTGCAAAAAAAAACATGCATGGATGCACTTCACAAATCCACTGGAAATAGTTTACCATTTGGGTACCTTTGGCATACTGTTTACAGCGTGATTTGGAATTCATCGAAAATGACAGAGACGTGCAAAGTAAGTGCAAAAAAGCAGTGTCTATTTCGTGCACAACTTGAACAAACTACAACAGGTCAAAGTGCAGTGTCTGGGTTATTAGAAATGACACTATGAAGCACACTACCCAGGAGGTCATTTGAAACCAGTAAACTTCTGGAAAATTCATGGATCCAATAAGGGAATGCATTAGTAATAAGTAATAAGCTCAAAACAGAGAAAACACGGACAAACTCATCAGAGATGGCAGAGAGAATAGTGACCCGTTTCCTGATGGCAGTAAATTATTCTTTTCAGTGTGTATTTGGCTTAAAAGCATGAGTGTTTTATAGGCATGGGCCGGTATGAGATTTTGACGGTATGATAACCTTAAGCAAAAATATCACGGTTTCACGAATCACGGTATTGTCGTTACAGCTCTAAAATTAGTTATTTTTAAATGACTGGGTTAAAAAAAAAAAAAAAAATTCCCACTGAACCCAATAATTTTTGTTTTTGAGCAACATACAGATTATTAGGAACAGTACAATTAGTTTATTTTGTCTTTGATTTGTTTCCTAAAGGAAGAAAAATAAAGACTGATATCTTTATTTAACCTAAATTGACATGACATTACATGCAAAATATACACGACAAATAGCGAATTTTTCATTGTTTCTCGAAACGTCATAGTATTTCCACACCGGCGATGACATGACTGTGGTGCCAAATCATTTATGTCCCTACGCATCATGTACGTCGTCACGCGTTGACGTCATCAAATTGTGATCGGTTCGTGAGATCGGCCAAGTTAGTGAGTACCGATCGAGTCATAAAAAGTGATTATCGGCCGATGCCGATTGATCGGAGCATCCCTAGAAAAAAGAGTTTCAAACAGTCCTCATCTCTGCCGGACAGCAGCACTGACGCACACCTGCTAAACACAGCTCAGTTGTGCAGCGCGAGAGAGCTCGACATGATGGAGATGTGCGAAGTGAAAGTGCACAAAAGCGAGTCTATTTTGTGCACAACTTGAACAAACTACAACAGGTGAAGCTGTCAGCTGTGTTGATATTGGCAATATCGTTAACAATTCTCGTTTATAATCATTACTAATATGGCTTCTTATCAAGATCTTAGTCTATGTGCTGTGTTCTGTTAATGTGTGAACTTCATATGATTTGAAGCACACTTGCCGTCCATTAATCGCAAAAAGCTTTGTTACTTCTTAATAAACAAAGTATCAGCTTTAAAATTATGCCAAATTTATAACGAAATTCAAACAATAAATACGGTTTTTGCGCTCTTTAATTCGACAGGCACGATCGCTTTAGCGCCTCAGTTCAAGCGGCAAGTGAACCCATTTAATCGGTCTCTTTACTACTATAGTACATAATGAACATGAATTAACATCAGAACCTAGCCTATTTTATAAGAAAACCTACAGTAGGCCTGGGCGATAAAACGGTATCGATATTTATCGAATTTAAAAATGTTTGATATAGTGCACAATATAGGCACGTGCTATGAGTGACACAGACAGCACACACAAACACGAACATGAGTGCTGCGCCTGCCTGTGATGAGGAGATTGTGAGTAAAGAATGAATATTAGTTGAATTTAAAATAAACATTTGCATTTGAATGCAAAAATAGTACAATCCAATGTTAGATGTGCATCAGGGAGTGTCATCAGTGGAGCACGAGATGCGGTGATGATGATGTAAGTGACGTTGTAGTTTAATGTTTTGTTAGTCTAGCCCACGAGACACGCAGTTGCTGCATTATTCATTCAAAATATTAGAGAAATATAGTAGCTCAATGCCTAGAATATCTTGATTAGGTTAAAACCGAAACCAAGCCATTCACACAGAACGCATATTCAGTGCATTTTCTAGACGGACAAATATGACTGCAGCACTCACAGCCATGCAAAGTTAAAATGGTTTAAACCAGGGTTACACAAATCTTGCCCTGGAGAGCCAATGCGTTGCAGAGTTTAGCTCCAACCCTGATCAAACTCACCTACCTGTGATTTTCTAATGATCCTGAAGACATTGATTAG